ACCTGTAGCCTTGAGTCCACATGCTGTCTTCTAGGTCATTGGGTGCAGACTTTTGACTAAGTCCAAGTTTTATAGAACAAATCCTTTTACTATTTACCTACAAAGGTAGGTACCTTTGGTAAGGCCCCCAAAGCAAAATCTCCTGGTGGCTTATCAGCCCTAAAACTAGAAATTTGGGGAGAAGGCTCTATTTGCATTTGCCATGATATCCCTCAAGTTCAGAGAAAATGGCCCTGTCTATTCAGGGATACTGTAAATATAATTAGAGGAAATATCCCTGGCAGGATCTTCATTCCTAGGACCACCACTATAAAAATGTAAACTCATTGGAGATTTCTGCTCTGTAGTAACAAAGACTAGATCTCCACTCACAAAGGAAGTTGCTCTTACCTTTGCTGGACTTTCTCAAACCATGGGAAAACTGGTTCAAGCCTTAGGAAAACTTAGGACCTTACTGATGATCAAGTAATGGTGATGAGAGGTCCCAATAAACATCCCAAAATGAAAATAAATTCTTGCTTACTCCCCAGCAAAAGATGTCAGCCTAGACAATCTGGGTCCTTTTCCCAGAACCATGTTAGGTGATTTCTTTCCAATGCTTGGAGGCTGGGAGTATCTTTGTAAATCCACAGAAACCAAGAGTTTTACATCAGAGCAACATTCCAGAGCTACTGCTGGACTGACTTCAGCAGGCTTTGTTTCTACTCTCCCAGATGCCAATTTATTTCAAAAGAGCAGAAACCTAATTTTATTCAACTGGGGGCGGGTCATAGATTTGTTGTAGTTGTCCAGTCATTTCAGTGGTGTCCTACTCTTCATGGCCCCATTCAGGGTTTTCTTGGTAAAGATACTGGAGTGGTTTGCCATTTCCTTCTCCAACTCATTTTATAGATGAGGAAACTGAGGCACACAAGGTGAAATGACTTGCCTAGGGTCACACAGCTAGTAAGTGTCTGAGGCTAGATTTGAACTCAGGAAGATGAATGTTCCTGACTCCAGGACCAGCATTCTATCCACTACTCCACCTAGCTTTCCTGGGGTAGAGATAAAGGGGGGGGAAATGTGATGAGCATACCCTGGAGCTTTCCTCCCATTCCCCTTCATCTTCATCTTCCCAATCACCTCTTTTACTTCCCTACTTTTGGATGGACTGAAGTTCTTGATTCTATAGTCAATCATTTCCAGACACTATCCTTTAGCTCTCCTCCTTTTTCCCATTTCTTGGAGATCCAAGACATAAAATGGCAAGGATGGATACACTAGAGGAAACAATGACATCAGTACTTGGGAGTAAGAAATGGGAGAGATTGGGTAGAGTCAGCACTTCAGATGAATAATTTGCTTCCTTCTCAACACCTGTACTCAGAGATGCTAATTCAGTCCTCAAGGAATCTGTTGACCCAGCTACAGGACATGCTCACCAATCCTATGCTTCAATTGACTGTATAATTCACTTCTGTTTTATTATTATTTCACAAAAATTGTTCATGTAGCAGTCATTTCCAAAAACGTCCATTGTTTGTAAATGGTAAGATAAGGGGAGACCCATCTAGTCCCAGAGGTAATCTAATCCAACTCCTTGATTTTACATATGAGGAAACTGAGGGCCAAGGAGATTAAATGATTTGTCCAAGGTCACATAGACAGTAAGCATCAAAAGAGAAAGTTTGAACCTCAATGCCCTAATTCCAGAGCCAGTGAAATAAGATCTATCTTTGCCTCTGTAGCTTTTGCAAATGCTTCAAGTAGTATTTTGACTATTCACATTTATCACAGGCAGTCATGTGTAGATCAACTTGATGAGCTATAGGGTAGCAACCCTTTATTTCAGACTTTAAATTTAATCTTTAGTGAATGTGAGCATGTCTCTTAATACCTTCTAAAGGATAGCTTTCACTGATGGAGGCTTTCCACAAGAAGAACTGATTGGCTTACACTGTAGTGGAGTGGATTGTTGTGGGAGGAGCCATCCTCTTTGCTATAAACTATAAAAAGAAACCTAAAGACATTTTTGTCCCTTTCTCCCCTTTTTCCTCTCATCTGGAGAAATATCGAAAAGGCAACATGCTAAAAGTGGAGCTTGGTCTGGTGGGGGAGGTGTATTTTGAGGCAAAAACACATGAGAGAGGGATGGTACTACGAGTGATCCCTATGTAGCCCAAGAAAAGTATTCTTGGTCTATATCAATCAACAACATTTATTAAGCACCTACTATGCATCAGGCACTGTGTTAAGCACTGGATTCTTTCAAATTCTCTCAGAATATCAAATTCCTGGCTTTAGCCTTTGGAGAATCAATGTCACAATGACTTAACCACTGGCAACTGTGGAAAGGGGAACTGTGCTGGAAAAAAATGCTGAGAGGTTCTGAGTTGGCCAACATATTGTCAAAAGAAGAAACATTTCTGAGCATTGTGATCCTGGCTGAAACCTAGCCTTCTATCAAGAGAAGAAAAATTCCCTGAGTAGTACCAACCTCAGGGTGTTCGTCATAGTTAACCCCTAGTTCAAACATAGGATAATGGTACCAATGTGTTTTTCTCCCCTCTAGCCACTGGGCAGGCCTGGGAGACCTAGATCATTCATGTCCTATAGAGAATTGCATCTTTATTCACAAGTGAAGAGGAAAGCTAAGTAGAGGGTCAGTGACATTAGGAGACCTTATGAATAATTAATGCTTTGTCCTATTTGTAGCAGGGGAGGAAGAGGTCTGAGCCTAAGATCCAGTGTTCTTGTAGCTCCTAGGTTTGAGATATGCCTGTAGACTGCATTTGGGCTACCTAGGAATTAGAAGACCCAAGGACCCCCCATTTAAATAGCAATAGTATTAGCATATTTTACTTTAGTCTTTTTGTTTCCATGGGTCTGAGTGAAAAACCATAACTGTATGTGGTTTTTAATTTTTAAAATATTTATTTATTTATTTTTAGTTTTCAACATTCTCTTCCACAAGATTTTGTGTTCCAAACTTTGTCCCCATCTCTCCCCTCCTCCCACTCCAAGATGGCATGCATTCTGAACACCCCTTTCCCTGCTCTGCCCTTCCTTCTATCATCCCCTCCTCCCTTCTCTTATCCCTTTCCCCTTCTATTTTCCTGTTGGGCAGGAATATCTGCCTGTATAGCTTATTTCCCAGTTGCATGTAAAAACAATTTCTAACACTTGTTTTTAAAACTTTGAGTTCCAAATTCTCTCCCTTCTTCCCTCCCCACCTACCCTCATTGAGAAGGCAAGCAATTCAATGCACATGACTACATGTGTAGTCATGCAAAACACTTCCATGATAGCCATGTTGTGAAAAACTAACTATATTTCCCTTTATCCTATCCCACCTCCCCCATTTATTCTATTCTCTCTTTTGACTCTGTCCCTCCTCAAAAGTGTTTGCTTCTGATTACCCCCTCCCCCAATCTGCCCTCCCTTCTATCAACCCTTCTTCTCTTATCCCCTTCCCCCCCCTATTTTCCTGCAGGGTAAGATAGATTTCCATACCCAATTGAGTGTCTAACTGTATATGGTTAAGCCATATTTATGTAGTCACCTCTGTTATGTCATGTTCACCTCACTAGGGTCACAGAATCATCTGTTTAGACTAATGTTATGACTTGGATAGATTTAATTAACTAAATTATCTAAGTCTGTGTAGATCATACCATGAGATAACAAGGTGAGTATTGCCACCTACCAAAGGGCCAGATCTAAGGACCAGAAGCAGCCAGCTCCCTGGGAATCACAGAGAATTTGAATGCTCCATTAAGCACTCTCCAGTCGAGTCAAATCAATATGCATTTATGTGGCTAAAATATCCTTAGGTACTGTACTAAGCACCAGGCATACAAAGAGAGGTAAAAACAATCCATGCTTTCACAGAGTTCACAGTTTAATGGGGGAAAAAACATGGAACCAACTATGTATGAACAAGATGTATGCAGGTTAAATTGGGGGTAATCTCAGAGAAGATGCTGACATTAAGCAGGATGTGGAAAGGCTTTCTGCAGAAGGTGGGACTTTAGCTGAGACTTGAATGAGGAGGGGTGGGGGACAGCCAGTGAAACTGTGTGGACTCAGGAGTTGGAGTGTTGTATGTGAGGATAAACAGGGAGGCAAGTGTAGCTGGATCTTGGAGTATGTGGAAGTAAGTTATAGGAAGATGGGAAGGGATACAGGCTGGGACTCAGCTGAACTCTCCCAATACTCCCCTCCAAACAACTTTAAAATAACACCTCAAATAAAATTTTGGAGCAGCAGAACCAACAAAAGGTCAGAAGATGACTTTTTTTTATCATTGTTATTAATATTTTTTTAAATTAATTTATTTTGATTTATCAATAATCACTTCCATAAGCTTTTGAGTTTTAAATTTTTCTCCCCCTCCCTCCTTACTTCCCTCCCCAAGGCAACACACAATCTGATATAGGCTATACATATACATCCCTTTTTTTTTTTTAAAGGCAATTGGGATTAAGTGACTTGCCCGGGGTCACACAGCTAGTAAGTGTCAAGTGTTTGGTCTGAAGCCGGATTTGAACTCAGGTCCTCCTGACTTCAGGGCCGGAGCTCTATCTGCTGTGCCCCTATACATTCCTATTAAACATATTTTCACATTAGTGATGTTGTAAGTAAGAATTAGAACCAATAGGAGGAACCACCAGAAAGAGGAAACAAAACACAACAGAAGAAAAAAAATAGCAAATATTATGCTTTGATCTATACTCAAACTCTATAGTTCTTTCTTTGGATGTGGATGGCATTTTCCATCATGAGGCCTTTGGAGATGTCTTAGATCCTTGTATTGCTGAGAAGGGTTAAGTCTATCAATATTAATCATCACACAACATAGCTGTTACTGTTCAATGTTCTCCTGGTTCTGCTCACTTCACTCAGCATCAGCCCATACAAGTCTTTCCAGGTTTTTCTGAAGTCTGCCTGCTCATCATTTCTTATAGCACAATAGTATTCCACATTCACATACCATAACTTGTTCAGGCATTCCCCAGTTGATGGGCGTCCTCTCAATTTCCAATTCTTTGCCAGAAGGTGACATTTTTTCCAGCCTAAGACAACTTAGAAGGTCTACAGGAGTGGTCTGTAACACCAGAATGGGCACAGGCCTGGAGGGCAGCAGGAGTGCTATCAGTGGGCCTTGGAGACAGCAGCCTCAGGAGCTGAGAGCCCAGAGACAGTAAGGGGGTTGGATAACTGGTCAGAAAGGGATTAGAGGGGACCTTTTGCTGGCACATTGGGTATAGCTGATGCTGATTGGCAGTTCTGGGTCATGGGTCCAGGGTAGAGAGGAACACTGGTGGTTGGTCACTAGGAAGCAGGGACACTGGTCACGGTTCCAGGGTTAAGAGGAGAGCTAGCATTTGTAGCTGCAGAAGAGCAGGAGACTTGGTCACAGTTCCAGGGCAAAAAGGAGCACTAGTACTTGCAACTGCAAGGGAACAGGGCCTGTTCCTGGGTAAAGACCAGAGCACAGATCAGGAGAGCAATGACCATACATCTATCAGGATAACACCACCTTGGAAGCACAAAAAAATTGCAAATCTCCAGAACTAGCTCTGAAAACAGCATCACAAGAAAAACCTGAAACTTACCATACTGCTTCCTTACCCCAAGGTGAGCAGAGACCAGCTTTAACATAAAAGTTCAAACTGGATAAATAGGCTGGGAAAATGAGCAAACAACAACAACAAAAGAACTTAACCATAAAGTTACTAGGGTGGCAAGGAAGACCAAGACAAACATAGAAGACAACAATTTGGAAACAGCTACAAACAAAGCCTCAAAGAAAATGCCAATTGGACCCAAGACAAGCAAGAATCCCTGGAAACATTAAAGAAAAAGATAAGAATGGTAGAGGGAAAATTGGGAAAAGAAATGAGTGATGCAAGAAAATTAATAGCTTGGTAGAAGAGGCACAAAAATTCCTTGAACAAAAGAACTCCTTTAAAAGCAGAATAGGCCAAATGGAAAAAGAGGTACAAAAGCTCATGGAAGAAAATACTTCCTTAAAAATTGGAATTGGGCAAATGGAAGCTAACTACTCCTTGAGACTTCGAGACAATAAAACAAAATTTTTTTTAAAATAGAAGAAAATATGAAATATCTCATTTGGAAAAACAACTGACCTGGAAAATACACGAAAAGAGAAGAATCATTAGACTACCTGAAAGCCATGATAAAAGAAAAAGAGCCTGGACAGAATCTTTTTAGAAATCATCAAGGAAAACTTCCCCAAAATCATAGATCCAAAGGGTAAAATAGAAATTGAAAGAATCCACCAATCACCTCTTGAAAGAGATCCCAAAATGAAAACTCTCAGGAATATTATAGCTCCCAGGTCAAGGAGAAAATATTGCAAGCAGCCAGAAAGAAACAATTCAAATATTGAATCTCAGTCAGGATCACACAAGATTTAGCAGTTTTCACAATAAAGGAACAGAAGGTTTGGAATATAATATTCTAGGAACATGTATGGGGAGTAGGGTAAAGAAGGTAGGATTACAACCAAGAATAATCTACCCAGCAAAACTGAGTATAATCCTTCAGGGGAAAAATGGATATTTAATGAAACAGAGGACTTCCAACTGGGGAAAAAATGGATATTTAATGAAATAGATTACTTCCAATCATTCCTGATGAAAAGATCAGAGCTGAATAGAAATTTAGCATTCAAGCAGAAAAGACTCAAGAGAAATGTAAAATGGTAAACATGAAAGAGTGGGACCCAATGGAGTTAAACCTTTTATATTCCCATATGGAAAGATGATACGTATAACTCCTAAGAACTCTATCATTATTAGGACTATTAGGAGTCTGCACAGAAAGAGGGCACAGATACGAATTGATTATATTGGGATGATCTCCAAAAAAAGATTGTAGAAAGAGGGATGCACTGGAAGAAAAGGAAAGGAGAGGTAGAATAAAGCAAATTTTCTCACATAAAGGAGGCATGCAAGGAAGAGCTTTTATAGGGAAAATTGGCAGGAGTGGGCAATGCTTAAACCTCACTCTCATTGGAATTGGTTTAGAGAGGGAAAAATACATATACCCACATTCAGTTGGGTATAGAAATCTATTTTCCACAATAGGGAGGTAGGAGGGGAAGGGGATAAGAAGGATGGGGTAGAGATTATAAGGAGGAGGATGCATTGAGAGAGGCAGTGGTCAGAAGCAAAACCAACTTGAGGAGGGACAGGATAAAAAGAGAGAAGAATAAGCAGAGGAAAATAGAAAGGAGGGAAATGCACAGTTAGTGATCATAACTGTGAATGTGAATGGGATGAGCTAACCCAGGGGTGGGGAACCTGAGGCCTTGAGGCCACATGTGGCCTTCTAGGTCCTTGGGTGCAGCCTTTTGACTGAGTCCAAATTTTATAGAACAAATTCTTTTATTAAGGGGATTTGTTCTGTGAAGTTTGGGTTCAGTCAAAGGGCTGCACTTGAGGACCTAGAGGGCCACCTGTGGCCTTGAGGCCATAGGTTCTCCACCTCTGATAACCCATAGGATGGAAAGAGCAGAATGAACTAGAAACCAGAATCCAACAATATGTTGTGCCCAAAATTTTCCAATTCACTATCAATTAGAGAAAGGCAAATTAAACTCTGAGATACTCCCTCATACATATCAGAAATGACAAATGCTGGAGGGGATGAGGGAAAATAGGTATGTTAATGAACTGTTGGTGGAATAGTGAACTGGTCCAACCATTCTAGGGGACCATCTGAAATTATGCCCAGAAGGTTATGAAATTGTCGATACCCTTTAATCCAACAATACCATTACTAGATCTATACCCAAAGAGACCAAAGAAAAGGGAAAAGGGCCCCTATATACAAAAATACTTATAGCATCTCTTTATGTGGTTTCAAAGAATTGAAAATTGTGATGGAGTAGTATGACAAGGGAGGTGACTTCAGAAAAAACATAGCAAGACCTATATGAACTGATGCAAAGTAAAGTAAGAAAAGTCAGGAGATCAATGTGCACAGTAATATCAATGTTGTAATGATGATCAACAGTGAAAGATGTGGCTTCTCTGATCAATTCAGTGATCCAAGACAATTCTAAATGACTCATGGTGAAAAAATGCTCACTCCAGAGACAGAACTGATGAATTCTGTGCAAACTGAAGTATATTTTCTTTTTTTTTTTTGTATTTTCATGTCACTAATATGTAAATATGTTTTACATGATTTCACTTGTATAATTGATATCATATTGTTTGCTTTTTCAGTGTGTGTGGGAAGGGTGGGAGGGAGAGACTCTGGAACTCAAAATTTATACTGAAAAGATTAATAATAAACATATTTTTAAAAGAAGATTGGAAAGATAGGAAGGGGCCAGTTTAAAGCCAGACAGGATTTTATATTTGATTCTGGAGATAATAGAGAGGCACCAGAGTTCATACTTTTTATGTGCAGGTATCACTTGGAAACTGAGTGGAGAATGGACTGGAGTGGGTAGAGACTTGAGGCAGGATGACCCACCAGAAGAATATAGCAGTAGTCCAGGCATGAGGTGATGGAGGACTGTCCCAAAGTGATGGCAGTGTCAAAGGAGAGAAGCTGGCATGTAGAAGAGATGAATGAAAGTAGAATTGGCAGGATCTGACAACTGATTGCATTTGAGGGTGAGAGAGTGAAGAGGAGTTAAGGATGACAGCTAGGTTGTGAGCTTGGCTGACTGAAAGAATGGAGGTACCTTCAGCAGTAATAAGAAATTTAGGAAGAAGGAAAGATTTGTGGAAATGTGGGGATGGGGAGAGGTAATGAGTTCAATTTTGGACTTGTTGATTTTAAAATGTCTATGGGACATTCAATTGGTGATGTCCAATAAACAGTTGCAGATGTGAGACTAGAGATCAACGGAGATGTTAGAGCTGGATAAGTAGATCTGGAATCATCTATAAAGAGATAGAATTAAATCCATGGGAGCTTAATGAGATCTCCAAGGGAAACAGTATGGCAAGAGAAGAATAGATATCCTAGGATAGCCTTGGGGAATAACCATGGTTAGTGCATACAACCTGAATACAGATCCAGCAAAGGAGAGTAAGAAAGAATGGCCGGACAGGTAGGAGGAGATCCAGGAGAGAGCAGTATCATGCAAATCTAAAGAGAAGATGATTGACAGTGTCAAAGACTGCAAAAAGTTTAAGAAATTGGGAAAGAGCAGTTTCAATAGAATGATGAGGTCAGAAGCCAGACTTCAGACAGTTAAGAAGAGAATGAGAGAAAAGAATATGGAGGCACTGATTATTGATGGCCTTCTCAAGGAATTTAGTCATGAAAAGGAGAGATATAGGATGATAGCAGAATGGATGGATTAAGTGATTATTTTTTGAGGTTGGAGGATATATGAGTATATTCATAGGTAGCAGGAAACTAGCCAGTAGACAAGGAAAGATTGATGAGTAGTGATAAAAAGAGCATGAGAGAGGGACAATCTGCTGAAGAAGATGGGATGGAATGAGATCATTTGTGCATATAGAAGGTTTTCCTAGACATGGAGAAGGACTACCTCTTCAGGTGAGACTAGGGTGAAGGAGGAAATAGTCACGGAAAGCTTCTGAGTGATGTAAGATGAAGTGAGAAAATAGAACTCTCAGTGACTGTCTTAAACATTTTTATTGTGTGTGTGTGTGTGTGTGTGTGTGTGTGTGTGTGTGTGTGTGTGTGTGTGTGTGTGTGTGTGTGTGTGTGTGTGTGAGTGAAATGAGTCATGGCTTTCCTCTGGGAGGGTGGGAGAAGGGGAGCCATGAGCACCTTCTGGTGTTGGGTGGAGGACATCTTCAGTCAGATGTGTGGGAGATTAATAGGGCCTGGTCCTCACTGAATAGGATCAGGCACGTGAACAGAAGGACTGCTTTGATGGAAAAATATGTATGTATACTTCAACTAGATCCTATTCCTGTAGCTTGTTTTGGCATGAAGGCAATCCTGGATTCTTGAAGGTTAAGTCACTGGAGCCCAATCTCAGGCAGGTCTTAAAAAGCTGAAAGGTTTTAAGTAGAAATACAGCAATGAACTCTGTTGGTTTACCCAATTATAACCAGTCAACTAATTTTAGAGATAATGATAATGTAAGGTTGATGACCACATTATGATTTTTTTTTTGGCACAGCAACTCCTAAAACAAGTTACTGAGAAGTTGAGTGATTAGGCATAAAGGATGTACAAGCCATATAGGTGAATCCTAGATCCTCTGCATGCAAACAATAGTTTGTTGAAAACGTAAATGAGATGTAACTTAAAAGCTGGTGTTTATACATTGCTTATAAGTGAGATTTTTGTAAAGTCCTTAGCACACAAAAAATTATATCTGATTAGAACCTCACAACTCCTATGAAATAGGAGCTATTATTATCCCCATTTTACAGATGAGGAAGCTGAAGGTCATAAAGAAGCCAAATGATTTCCTTGCCCAAAGCCACATAGCTAGCCAGAACCAT